TAACCGATCCCGTTGGCCTCTGCTGCTAGATACTACTGTTGCTATATAAGCCTACTTCTGTTGCTATATAGGTCTACTACTGTTGTCATTACTAGGCCTACTACTGTCACTATCACTGCCACATTACTACAACGTTTACCAGTATATATCACCACTCAAATTGCAAGCAATGTCAACATTTTTTTGTTTTACTCTGCCGCAGGCCTCTTAGGCCAGCCAGAGTCGTAGGTTCATAAGCGCTTATCAGAGCTACAGAGGGGGGAGAGGTGCGTAGTGTGTATGGTGGCTGGGGGGTTTCTGGGAGAGGGGGGGGGGGTGAAGGTGAAGGTCCTGGCCAGTAATCAATAGACAGCACGTGCACAGCCGCCACGCCCCACCACCACCACACCCTGGCCCCCCACCACACCCTGGCCCCACCACCACCACACCCTGGCCCCACCACCACCACACACTGGCGGGTTACCGGCAGAAAACACTAAACTTGGTAACAGAGTACCTGGCGGACGTATAACAAAGAGTTTCAGTCAAAGAGTAGTCGAGCTGGAGGTATGTGACTGGTGGTGCCCCGAGACTCGGTCCTGGGGCCCCCCAAGGCTCGGTCCTGGGGCCCCCCAAGGCTCGGTCCTGGGGCCCCCCAAGGCTCGATCCTGGGGCCCCCCAAGGCTCGGTCCTGGGGCCCCCCAAGGCTCGGTCCTGGGGCCCCCCAAGGCTCGGTCCTGGGGCCCCCCAAGGCTCGGTCCTGGGGCCCCCCAAGGCTCGGTCCTGGGGCCCCCCAAGGCTCGGTCCTGGGGTCCCCCAAGGCTCGGTCCTGGGGCCCCCCAAGGCTCGGTCCTGGGGCCCCCCGAGGCTCGGTCCTGGGGCCCCCCGAGGCTCGGTCCTGGGGCCCCCCCGAGGCTCGGTCCTGGGGCCTCCCCGAGGCTCGGTCCTGGGGCCCCCCGAGGCTCGGTCCTGAGGCCCCCCGAGGCTCGGTCCTGGGGCCCCCCAAGGCTCGGTCCTGGGGCCCCCCAAGGCTCGGTCCTGTGACCATTGCTGTTCCTGATTTATGAGAGTGAGTTACCCGAAAGCGTGCTGTACAGTGTTGCAGATGATATTAAGCTAATAAGGAATGTAAAAACTGTTTAGAATTAAAGGAAGACTCTGGCAGACTCCAGGAGTGGGCTGATAAATGGCCTGTAGAAAGTTTTTTTTTTTTTAATTTTGCCCCGAGGGGCGAGTTTATTGGGCAGCGCCACTTATCCTGTAAGTGGACATACCGCCATAGCAACATGTACAACACTCCCCAATCGGAAGAAAACCCGCTGGGTTGTTCATCCTGTCACTTGTACCCAGACACAGCTGGAACTTGCTTAACTGTCTCAAGTGAACAGCTCCTCAAACTAGAAGATTAACATCTGTCAACCCATACAATCTTACGTTATCTTGCGGGAGCAAAATGGGGGAATCTTTTAAGAACAGTATCAATATTTGACAAATAGTGTTTTCCTAACTCAAACAATGAGAGGTGTATTATTCTACACATATTTCTAATGTCTCTCAGGTGTTCACATTCACGTACATAGTGGTCAAGGCGGTGTCCGTCACTCTCATCACAGATTCTGCAACTTCGCTGATCAAGTGTTGTTTCCATTCCGTATCTCCATGGATATTTGTATCCAAGACGAATTCTCGCTATTACTGATTCTCTCCCGCGGCCACCTCCTCTTCGTCCATAATGATTGGGATTGCCAGCTGGTATACAGATTCCTGAGCCTACTGGGCTCTATCATATCTACATTTGAAACTGTGTATGGAGTCAGCCTCCACCACATCACTTCCTAATGCATTCCATTTATTAACTACTCTGACACTGATAAAATTCTAACGTCTCTGTGGCTCATCTGGGTACTAAGTTTCCACCTGTGTTCCCTTGTTCGTGTCCCACCCGTGCTGAAGAGTTTGTCTTTGTCCACCCTGTCAATTCCCCTGAGAATTTTGTAGGTGGTTATCATGTCTCCCCTTACTCTTCTGTTTTCCAGTGACGTGAGGTTCAGCTCCTTTAGCCTTTCCTCGTAGCTCATACCCTTATGTTGCATCCCCCTTTACCCTTATGTTACATCCCCCTTTACCCTTATGTTGCATCCCCATTTACCCTTATGTTGCATCCCCCTTTACCCTTATGTTGCATCCCCCTTTACCCTTATGTTGCATCCCCATTTACCCTAGCATCTAGATGCTAGAGACTTTATCAGTCCTTCAGGTCTTGCTATTTATCCAAATATTTTATTTTGTCCCAGTTGGCATACAGGTTCCTGAGACGCTCATCCCCCAGCCCCACCCTGACAATTATAATGACATAGTAATGACGACAGTAGGCCTAGTAATGACAACAGTAGGCCTGGTAATGACAACAGTAGGCCTAGTAATGACAACAGTAGGCCTAGTAATGACAACAGTAGGCCTAGTAATGACAACAGTAGGCCTAGTAATGACAACAGTAGGCCTGGTAATGACAACAGTAGGTCTGGTAATGACGACAGTAGGCCTAGTAATGACAACAGTAGACCTAGTAATGACAACAGTAGGCCTAGTAATGACAACAGTAGGCCTAGTAATGACAACAGTAGGCCTGGTAATGACAGCAGCACTGTCTCGCACCCACACTTCCTAAATATTATTGACACCAATGCTGAGAAAAACCACAAGTTAATTTTCCATTTACATTGTTACCAATACCCTTGACTCTTGCTCCGGGAGCCCGTACCCACCATCTCCTCCTGCCCTGGGGGCATAATCTTACCCCCTCTATCTTGCCCTCTCAGTTGTCTTACCTGAGAGGGCAAAAACTATCAATATATTCTCTTCTTCCTTATTCATTCCTCCTTACTTGTCTGTGAAATTTCTTTTAACCGCGACACCGAACTCTCTTGGAAATGTTGCAATAGTGTTACTCTCTTATATACAGCATCAGTATATAAGTTATATAAGGTATATAATATTTGGGTAATATTCTTTGAGGTATATTACGACCTTCTTGCGCTCACCTACTACCAGCAGGTCGTCATCAAGGAGCTCCTTATACCTCGTCTCGGGACCATCCACTTGTGTGGCTGCACACTCAGTGCTTGAGATGGAAAGAGATAGTGCAGGGAGAGACAGAAAGACCCGAGCACATCCGGATAGTATATTTACAAATCATAACAATCACCCACGATTGAAAAAAATCATTAGTGTACCGAATCATTCTGGTGACTGCAACGCACGGATCCCGCTCGCTTTCCCTTCATTCAATTTCCTTTCCTTTGTCACCTGTGTGACGACGGTTCCCCACCGGAAAAAAAATCTTATGATAAAAAAAGTCATTCTTCCACTAGTGAAGCCAAGTGGAAAATACTAATTTTGCGGTAATCTGACTCTCTCATCTCTTTTTTTTTTTTACCTCGAATTTTTTGTCGCGAGATTCATGTAATTTAGTAAGAGAAGACTTGGTGCGTGGCGGTGAGTGGCAGCTAATGAGGCGTGCTTGGTGGCCGCTTGAGCAGCACCAGTAGTAAGAGTAGCAGCACCAGCACTTTAGTGTGCCCAGTAATTCTGTTGCATGGTGTTCTGTTACATATAGGCATGGCGACCATTCAAACTGATTCGCATAAATGTTACTCATTGAATGTGGTTTGATGAAATATCTGTGCCTAGAAAGGTCAGCGAGTGCTGTTGGGAATGGGTTAAGGGTTTTAAGATTTCCAATTCTTTTAACAGTCATGTGGCCTAATGGTGAAAGTACTGGACACGTTAAGGTGCCTGGAGCCCCTGGCTGTCTGGGTTCGAATCCTTCTGGGGTGAAGAGTTTTCTGTTATATATATATATATATATATATATATATATATATATATATATATATATATATATATATATATATATATATATATATATATATATATATATATATATATATATATATATATATATATATAATATAACCCCCCCCCCCCCCCCCGTGATAAGAAACGCGCCCAACCATTTCTGTCCCGCCCGGGATTCCCGTATTGTACGTTGAGAACGAAGCCAACTGTACTACCGAGGCCCTCTATTTAGACGTAATTATGAAATCATTAGCAGATCCACCATTTTCCCTGGAGGTTAGCGGATGAGGGTTCACCAACGAGTGATATTTAATTAATACTTCCTGTTATCGGGACAGGAAGCCTGTATTTAGGTTTATCGAGGTCGCCCTAGGCCACCTACTGACCTTCCTCAGGACGCAACCCACAACAGTTGTCTAACTCCCGGGTTTGCTTTATTGCTAGGTGAACAGAGGCATCAGGTGAAAGGAAACGTGGCCAACTGTGTTTATCTTGCTTGGAGATTGAACTCAAGACCCTCGATCGATTGTGACCTGAGGACGTAGCCCACTGTGCTACAGGATCCATTTCTTTTGAAGGATTTCCCCAAAAAATAGAACTGTGGGGAGATATATGGAAGACCTTATAGGTCGCGTAAGTACAATCAAGCCGGTGTTGCTCCGTAACTATTAATATAGAGATATGTGAAAACAATTGAGTTATCGCCAACTCATGTGTGTCCAATTTTCCAAGTCAATGAAAATACAATGTATATATACTTTATTTTGCTTTTACGATGATCAGAATGAAAAACAATATGGAGGTTAAATTATATAGTTGGTAATGATATGTATATATGTAATAATCTTATTATTGTTGCACCTCGTCAAGTGACAAGCTTTCTCCCGTCTCCAGTCACGCCAATTAGGCGATTATGTCGTTAGAGTCCACACAATAGACTCACTCGGCCAATGTTTTCTCCTTTTATCATTCAGACTTTGTTAGTAACTGATAAGGAAGGCAGTTCGTAGATTCCACAACGTGGAGATAGGTATACCCCTAGAAGGTATATAGTTACTTCCTAGTATGTGGATCACCGTAACAGTTGTTGGGGCCTCCAACCACTGTCCCTTACCCGGCGATCACAAATTGCATTTATTTTAGTCACTCCACCTAATTTACAGTGAGCAGTAAACCGCACATTAGTTCCGTTGGTTTGTGCGGGTGGTGGTGCAGGAGGGTGGAGCAGCTGATGTGTGGAACAGGTCGGGTAGTGGAGCGAAGCCTCGTTGAGCAGATGTCGTATATATATATATTGTACCTGAATGGCGGCAAACGGTTACACTGTGTGGCAGGACTTGTTGTCTTCATCATCTCGGCAGCTCCCCGGCAGTTTAATGATACGAACATTAGTACTCTTTGGTGAACTTTAAGCAAAAAGTGCAAGTTGTCAAGAGCATCGGCCAGTTATGGCAGGAACAAGCAGTGTCGTTTTTCTCTCTCTGGTAAGTGTTATACAAGCCACGTAATTTAAGCATAATTCCTGTTGTCAAGCTTTTAGAGGTCTTCCCTCTAGGCCAACTTCTGACCTTCTCTAGGTTGTAACCCATAATAATATTGCCTCTCAAGGTGAAAGGAAGTGTGCCACACAGTTTGTCCTGATTTTACGTGACTTCTAAATGTATATGGGCGTCATAATGTAATAACCTGAGAGGTGTTTTCGTTAGAACATATAAACACGCAGACACTTATTATAGTAACATGAGTAAGAGAAACAGAGGGAGGGGAATACCTAAGCTTTGACAAGTCACTGTTATTGTCACGTTGTTTACAGGAAACTTTCAGTAATAAGACGATGCTTGGCTAATAAGTACGTCCACATAGTCTCTAATAAAAATATAAATACAAAATAATTAATTTAAATATATATATAATATATATATCTGTATATATATATATATCTGTATAGTCCATATTTTATCTAATACAATATTAAGGTGGTAAAGTAACGTAACTGATCAGTACTGACTTTCGAATCTTATAAGAAACGACGCATAATGCCAGTACCTTCCTATCCAGCTCAGTATGAGATGTTTGGGTAGTCAGTTATCAGCAAACTGTGCTGGCTTAAGGTATTGCGTGGCATTTGGTTGATCATCTATGTATATGATAGACGAGTGGCGCAAAAATGCTGCTCAAGGGAATGTCATTATGAAGCAATGTGGGTGGAAGATGGGACGTCTTCACAGATACGTATCGGCGTGTTGCTCCACGCCATTCTCATAACCAATAACCAAATGTTCATTAAGCTATCCGATAAGCCCCACATTTGAAAGAAAACACACTATAAGCATAAAAATTAAGTTAATTACAGAAGGCCTATTGGCCCCTATGTTTTAGCTTTTATCGAGATCCATCCACTTTCATATATACTGTGTCTAGACTATGCCTGAAATAAGTCATCCGGCGTCAGAAAAGATATGATTGTATCGATAAGAAAAGTATTCCCTCGGTATAATAAGATACTGAGAACAGACAGGGGGAACAAGGATACTTCAAATTGATAGAGTAAGACATAAGGACAGAGATGGAAATTAGAAAGCAAATGAGTCAAAGGAATGATAAGGAAATACGCTTACCCAGTATGGGTGATAAAGTGGAAGACATTGAAGAAAATTGTGTAAGCCTTCTCCATCCACAACTTTTAATGCCAGATTAAGGCCTTTAAGGCCAATAGAGGATTCAAATGTCAGAATAGTTAAATTATAATGTAACAGATACAACAAAGCTAATAGGCTAGGCATAAAAAACTAGCCTCACTACTCTTTACACTGATAGGCAGGTCTACACATACACACAAATTGGCAGTTTCTTTTATCTGATGCCATGGTTCATTTAGCAGTAAAACGAATACCTTGGACTTAAGACATCCTCAACTCTTAGCCTGTCTAAGGAATAAAGAGCTTGCTCAATCCCTTTTCATATGAAAGGTTTCTAATTCCTGTATTTAATTGTCATCCATTGCTGAATGTATTAGAGAGAATTTATGTCCATTCTAAAGTAGTGACCAAAATTGAATTACATAATCTAACTGGGGCCCAACAAGAGCAAGATATACCTAGTAGTTGTAAATAACATTGATTTATTGCTACTGTTGCTAGAAATACAATAATTTAAGTATCCTACTTGCTGCCTTATTCCTAACATGTGTACTGTATATACTTTTGCCTTTAACTTTCTACTAACCATTGACCTCTATCAGCTGATTATGTTCTAGCTTCCTTGAACAGTGTTTTGCTCTCTTCCTATGATTGAATCACATGTCTAAATACAAATAATTTCTAAAAACAGAGCCAAAGCACCTAACCTATTCCTAGTCTAACTATACTCAATTTTATATTATGCATAAATATTAATTAGGTATACATATATACAGTAGTTAGAATGGAGACCTATGCATGATCATAAATTTACTTTGTTTTCTCTCAACATGCGACATAACGATATAGTACATGGTGCAGTACAACAATATACTTATTTTATTGCTTAAGAATTATAAAGTCCACAACCCAGCAGTTAATAAAGTCTTATGATTACTGTACTCGCATTTACGTTCTAAGTGTTAGAATTAATCTAATAAGCATCTTGAGTAGATTGTTCATTATAAAGGCACAGCAATGTAAAACTAATGTAATGTCTCCCACAGGTGTTTCTGAGTCTGGTCAGAGCCTTTGCTTTCACAAATCATTTTAAGGTAAGATAATAAACTTATTATTTAGATACTCAGTTGGGATTCTGTGAATCTTGTCCCAAATGTCTTTGTATAATAGTTAATACCATATATATATATGGTCACTTGCCAAGGAATCGGAGGCAAAGAGACAGAGAAGGAAAGCCAGTAGCCAGGAAGACAGACCAGAATCGGACTTCGTTTGTGCTCGGTGTGGGAAGGACTGCCACTCTCGGATTGGCCTCATCAGTCACACCAGACGCTGCACCAGAATTGACAACTAGGGCGCAACTCCATAGTCTCCCGAGACTGAAGGATGCCTAATATATATATATATATATATAACTAAAATCTTGTGAAAGAAGCAATTGCAGCATTAAGAATTTTCAATCATGTTTAGTATGAATAAACTCCTCTACTCACAGCTGATTACAGGTATTAAAAAATCATGTGAATTGTATGTCTCGGTATAGATACTGTACAGGTATATGGCTCACTGGATATGGTGAGGGACAAGGCTGGGTTGAAGCATTTTGTAAAGAATTGAATATGGTTGCTCATGATATGGCAATTAAATAGGAGCCATTAATCTGTGTAACTAGTTAATGAAGACTAACTTGCTTACCTAAAGAGTGAGTGGAGAGGGAAGGAGGGGGTGGAGTGACACCCAAACACCACTAGGAAACCTATCTAGTTCTATTAAAAAAAGAATAAAATAGTTTACAGTAGTATGAGCTTATTACACACAAGTTTCAGGTAAAAAATCTGGCCTTAGATGCCACAACTTCTTTAATAACATGCCATATCTCTCTTCAGATTGGTCTACACTTGGGAACCAGCTCCGGGAAGCAAGACCATAACCACCACTACTGTACAGATTCTCGTGAGCAGCTCCTCAAGAACCTCTATGTGGATTACTTCCATTCCTTGGGTCCCTGTATTACTTCTGATGGTAGCAAAGTGTACACCTTTAGGAACACTGATCAAAGCAGTGGTGACAATACCCACACCTACTCCTCTCTGTGTGCAAAAGTGCCCACAATATGCAAACTTTCTCATCAAAGGTAAGCTGTGCCTCCACCCTCTCAAAGGAAAGTGCAGATTTACTTGTGTAATTGTCTTAATGGCATTCATGTCATACATTTAGTTATTATGGGAATATAACAGCAGCATCTGTAAACTTTTTGTGAGTTGAATGCCAGTTTATGTGGAAGTGAGTGGGAGGGGAATATGAAAAAAGAACATTTACCATACTCGATACATAAAATGTATCTGGTCAAAATTTATATACAGTACTTGGTATTGAAGATTATGAAAAGGATTGCAGATGGGTTTAAAAATAATTATTTGTTATCGGTATGGACCAGAATAGCCGTAACTGAAATTTAAATTGACCATGTTAATTTTTCACATGTAATTTACGTGCAGTATTAGAGCATTAATGATTAATTAAGAGTATTAAGGTGACCTCCAGTAAGCACATTTAATATTTTGCATAAGCAAATGTGAGGCAGAACAAATAATAACAATCTATGCAAAATTAGTAGGTGATTAGGCATATTAGTTAATTTGAATATAATATTCAAATTAACTGTATTGTATAACTATTCTGATGATAATTTGCAAAATGGGAACTTGGTGAGTAATAAGTACGATGATATGCAAGTCAAGGTAAGACTATGTATATTTATTTAGAGGGAATAGGAGCAAGTGGGAGAATGTAAAGTAACTTCAGGCTAGTTGTGTTTCGAGTTTTCAAGAAGTTCTGCTGTAATAAGAAATAAATGGTTATTTTCCCAGAGAAGCAATGGGGCAGCATTGCTGCCTCTTTAACTTGTAATTTATAGGAAATCAGTTTGAGAGCCTATATCCAGACAACTATGCATTAATTTTTTTTTTTTTTTTTTTACTCTGCTTCAGGGCATGTCTTCTGACCATTTGTGTTCACGTAAAATATTTTGCAAGGCCTCCATATAATTTTCATTTTCAGTTTGACCACATAAAATTTACACGTCGGTATAATGTGTGAACTTGATGTGGTTCATGGTGTCGTCTGTCATTTATTTATATTACGAAAAGGGTTGGCCCTAAACTGAAATCTTGCAATACCTGTACTCTGCATGATTTTTACCAGTAGGATTTGATCCTAGTTAGAAAGATTGTGTTCCAACCAGTTTTATCCATTCCAGTATTTTACAGCTGATTGCATATACTAGTACTTGTAGTTTGTGGGCCTATTTTTTCATATAGAAACTTGTCAAAAGCTTTAGAGAACTCAATGTTCTTGTCAAAAACTTTGTTAACATACACATACACTACATTGACAGGAAGTCTTTTGGTTTTGATTAACATTTCCAGAAATGTAAGTAGGTTTGCTAGGAAGGATTTCTTTTTGGCAAAGCTATGTTGATGCTTTTACAAGTCTGTGAACAGATATGTAGTCTGTGAAAGTTAAGCAGTTGCCAATTGCTTGTAACAATAAATAGAAATGTGACAAAAGTAATGTACTCGGCAGTTATGGATTACCGGAGAAATATGCCATTTTAACTATAACCCTCTATGATGAATAGCTGTCTTAAAGGTTAAGAGAATCATTCCACCAAATGTTAATTTACCTTTTTTTCCATAAGAAAAACCTAGCTTTCCTGCAACAATTTAAACTAATTATAATAATTATCAATTTTAAACATCTGTTTAAACCCAAAAGCTTAATTTTAAGAAGAATACTGTACAGTACTGTACAATAAATAAAAAATTATTACACAGGTTTTGAGAGTATGGACCTTGGTTATAGTTATTGTATTTGTTTTATTGACAGTGGCCACCGGACCTTGGAGGCAGGGCAGATGGTGAAGACATTTCGTGACAATATCAGAAGACTTTACCACCCGATAACAAGTCACGGCTCTCCTCTCGCCATACCCCCACCCACCTTGGTGAGCACACTACCTTTACTGTCCATGATAAAAATGGTGGCAGTAATGTGAAAACTACATTACTGTACTTTGTTGTTAAACGTTACAATTATTTTAGCCATTAATAGACAATAAGTGTTATTTTATGCAGAGTTAAAATCCATGAATATACTGCATGAATTCATATACAGTATTGTATAGTACTGTAGCGCATTGAACTTGAGATGAAGTGTAGATTAAATTATGCATTTCACCAATTTACTTTTCCATTTATTTGAACAATATATAATTTGAACTATATTACTATACTATGAATTACAGTATTTGAACAATATATAATTCATTCGTGAGTAAATTTCCATGACTAATCATTCACTTTTAAGTAGCAACAAATTTTCAATGTAAACAGTACAGTATATCAGTCTCTAGTTTGAATTCTTTAAGATTGCCTGTTGTTTGTAACCTTCAAATTACTGCAAATTTGCTATGAATGTTAGTGGTTTTGAGATTGTACTACTGCATTAACAATAATATACTAATAAATGATACCTTATAAATAATTACTCTCACATTTTTGTGAGTTTATTTAGAAAACATGGGTAAACTATTTTACCCATGTTTTCTAAATAAAGAAAAGTTTCATACCATTTCCATACTATTGTGGTAGTGTCTGTACCCATAATGCCAGTCTTGCCTTGGCTAACTATATACAGTACTGTACATTATGTATAGATCAGTAATGTATTGCTCCACAAGGCTTGTATATTAACACTTAAGATGCCTTGGCAGGACCTGCGTAACTCCATGGGTCGCCCCCGGGATGAACCTATCGTCTACCAAACGGAATGTGGTCACAGACGGTGAGTAATGACTACTTAAAAAATAAATAAATAAATGAACAAGGTAATTGAATGTTGTGAAAATCTCTTTCGGGCGAGCCCCCAATAGTTTTCTGAGCACTTGGCACTTGTGCCACCAATTTTGAGGTGATTTCAAGGCATAGGATCCCCGCTGCCTGGTCCCGGTCCTTTTTGTTACACACCCTCGGGAAGCAGCCCGTAGCAGCTGTCCCAGGTACCTATTTACTGCTAGGTGAACAGGACCATCACAGGGTGAAAGAGGCTCTGCCCATTTATTACCGGCTCCACTGGGGATCAAACCCGGAATCTGAGGACTACGAATCCCAAGCACAATCCCCTCAGCTCTCAGGCCCTTGACAAGCCTTAAAATGTAAGACCAAGTCTTAACACGCTGTTTCTCTGAGAGGCATCCAGCCAGGACCAGAATCTAGATCACTGTGCTTGCCTATTGATGACGGGGGGGAGCAAGATCTAGCTCTTTTATGGCCACTGCCTAGCTGTTCATACCTGGTTCACTGATTACCTCTCTCAATATTAACATTTTCATCATATTTCTTTTTAAAATTGTGGATGGAATTGGTTTCTATCTACAACTTCTTCCTTCAATGCATTCTTCTTGTTTCCACTTGTACAAGAAATGGGAACCCTCCTTGCATTTCTTCGACGTGATTGCATATCCAGCTTCCACCAACATCCCCTTGTCCTACCTTTTTAATTTAAATAGGCTTCCTTTATCCACTTTATCTCTCAAGATCTTGTATCTAGTTTTATCTCCTCTGGTTTCTTCTATCCTCTAAGGTTGTGAGGCTGAGTTCTCTCAACTTGTCCTCATAGCTGAGGTCTCTCAATTCTGGTACTGGTCTAGTTGCAAACATGAACTTTCTCAAGTTTGTGTTTGCTTCACAAGGTGTAGGTTCCAAACTGGAGTTGTACTCTCAAGTACGGTAAAGGTATTGCAACAGGAGCAGAGGATCATAAGCAAACCACAAAACTGGGAAAATTAACCAGAAAGAATAGGCATAACAGACCAAATGATTGTTTTAAAAATATTGTCTCGAAGTATACAAGGAAAGTGATTGTTACTGTCAGGAATATATCCCGACTGATATGGCAGTCCAAGTCACCCGAGATCTCAAAATGACCTGCCTGGTTTTATCATTCTAGTACCCAACCCACTTCTAAAATATATGGAACTTATAGCTATGGATGGAATACTGTATATAAAATATGGAATGCTGTACCCAAACAATTAATGTTTTTTACTACTGGAATTATCAATTGCATAACAAGAGTGAAACAATGACCATAAACCCAACCTAAGACTAAATAGGCAATCCTATACCTAATTTAGTACATACTGTACAGTATATGTACAGGTACTACTGTATATTATTACATAGCCTTCCTGGTTTGGTGCCTTCTTTTGATAATTACTTACTCCTCCATCCTTATCCGTTGGCAGGCTTATTGGTCATCTGTCACTGGTAACAAACTGCATACTCTTAAGAGTTGTGTGTCCTCGTGGATGTCCTCCTACCACCATAACCGGCGATGGGAAACAGCTCTAGCGAGGTTGTGTATTGGCCATACTCGCTAAACTCGTGGTCACTTGATGGAGCGCCGCCCTGCTCCTTATTGTCCTCATTGTATTGTCCCTCTTACGGTCGTGCATATCCTTGTTGAATGTCCTGACTTCCGGGACAAACGTGTGTCTTGTTTTCCAACTGTCCCCCACAGTCGCTTGTCCCTCGTTAGTATTCTTGGTGACTGATACTTTTGATACTGTTCGCCTTGTGCGTTTCTGTTCTCGTATTGGCATTCTTGGTGATATTTGGCGCCCTCTGATTATTAATAATTGTTAATTATAATAATTGTTCCATAGTTTAAACTAAATTACAGTACAGAAATTTGCAAATTTTTAAAGGAACATGTAGAAATTTTAATGATGGTAATATATGGGTCTTGACAGGTGTTCCGAGCATGGAGTGTCAGTGTGTGACAGTGTCAAGGGTTTTGTATTCCCAGTGGTGGGTCAATCGGCTATCTCAAATACAACGGTTACCATCGTACAAGCATTTCCTGATCTTGTCCAACCAGTATTCTTCAGAAAATGCAGGTCAGCTGCTATATTTTTCTTATTGACCTTGGATGTTGGGATGTTATCATCCTAACAAAATACATTGTACTAGTATTTAAAAATATATATCGTGATGATTTTATTCTTATGTTCCGTTAAACACAGTTTATATTGCTTTAAAATGTACAATGTTTTTTAAATGTTTTATTCTTTTAGAACTGAAAATACGCAGATAGCACATGGAAAATGTGTCCAGGATTATCTCCCAGTTGGCTTCCTGGTGTCACCTACCTTGCCTGGAGCTGTGGTGGCTCAAGACTTTGTGATGGTTGAGTCTGGGTGCCATCTAGCAACAGAAGTGACCCATTATAGAGATAAACAGCTTCAGGATAATTTCACAACGGGGGTTTATACAAATATTGACAAAATGCGAGAAAGTGATAGACGATTATTTTAACCACTGTATAAAGAACGGAAGCAAAATGGCCCACGCAATTTTTATTTTGCAATGTTGAAGCTTTGCACTTGTTAATTCATAGTAAGCTTATTGATGTTTATTGCCTATAGGTGCCTTACTGTGTGATGCACATGTACGGCTCCCAGACCTCCACATCACAGTCGACACTTTTCCTTTTACGCACTTTTTTTTTTTTCTTATGTTTGTTAAATTTTCATAATACATACTGTATTCGCACTGAGTCAACCTTCACACTTTCTGAATTCTTTGTGCTTACCCCAGGCATTCCTACAACTGTCCCAGAGTTTATGTAGATAAACAGGAATTACACCCCTTCCCTCCAAAAAAAAAAAAAAGTTTCCCAAAAATTTATTTTACAAGTATCTTCATTCACCTTGATTAATATAGCCGTCATGTTTGATCTGATTGATGAGACCACAAAACATGATTTAGACATGTTGAATAAACCATTTGTATGGCTTATTTAAACCAAAACCATTTTTTTTATATTAATATACCTCAAAGCTCAACCAATTATATAATTTTTAAATGTTTTAAAATGGAAACAGTATTTTTCACTTTTATTAAAAATCTACATGAATTTACAAGTGGCATGCATGTCAATACAGTAATATAAAAATAATCTGTTGCTGTTAGTGAAACCTGAGAATGCTTTATGCAGATCATGAGTTTGTACACAAAGCAACAATGCAGATTCATCCGAGCTGTTGATGAGAATTCCAGTGAAGTGTAAATTCTTGATAAACAGATGCCGACAATTTTAGGATTGATAAGCACATATTCCGTGACTATTGCAGCACACTACTCAATATTAACAATTCTGATGATGACAATGTATCCAACTATAACAAATATATTGCACAGTAATTGACAATTTCAAATACCGTATTATAAACTTATCTTTGAAGTGCTGGTATATTCAGATCAAGCTCTATACAATACTGTATTTCAGAGAATTTTAATAATTGTCTAAATACAGTAACTGTCAAATACTGATACAGTACTGATCAATGTTTAAAGAGAATACAGATTTATAATTAAAATTTATATAACTATAACAGCTAAAATTACAACAATGCTTTGCTTAGCCTTTGAGTCTAAAGACACTTATTGCACAGTATCTATTTTCCAACTACAAAAAAGTGTAATAAAATGATAATTGCAATCATTTTATAAAAATTTTTAAAACTTTGTACATACTACATTAATGATAAAATTATTTTTCATCAAATGTAAAATAAGTAAAACATTTCTTTTTTAAATCTTTAAGTAACTGTACTCAATCATCAACTTTCTGCAGTCACAGTGACAGCTGTCAAATCAAGGAGAATATTTGGGAGTTCAGTAACCTTACTAATTGTGAAGTCTGGATGAACATCACTGGGAGCAGCTTTGTTCCTCGCATTGACCCAAACGGTGGCTCCAACACCAGCATTCACACCACCTATGATGTCTGTTTCAATTTTGTCTCCAACCATGATGCATTCAGAGGGACTCACCTACGTAGAGAGGGAAAATATATACTTGCTGTAGTAAGTAACATATAAGCAAAAATTACCATTAAATACGCTGGAAAGATAGTTTAATTTTGGTTGACTGAAGCAATACAGTATTTCCATCGCCTTTCCCTCAGTTGAATATCTGCTCTGAAACACAAGCAATTTCATGACAACAAAAAACCTACATGCAGTACCAAAAGGATATCATTACTTATAAAATATCTTTGCTACTTTTACATTATCTTCAAATTACTTCCAGATCTGGGGCACAAACATCACAAATATTGTACCATTTACACCACACACATTCAGTTACCAATATACTACACAAGTAGCATCTCCACTACCGAAGCAATCTCCAGTATAGCATTCCTCTCTACAGAATTAAATAATAACCCCAACTATAAAGGCATTTCATTCCAAAATACAGTGGAACCTCGGTTTACGAATGCCCCACTTTACACAAGGGCAAGGCGCACTCCAGTTTACCAATGCCTCCCGTCTAATGACGATCGCACTTTAATTCTTTATAAAGAATTTCTTTTTTTTCTTTTTTTCTTTTTGTTTCTGAACATAATAATTACTTTTATGTCATGCCATGGGTCCCAAGTAAGTCAGTGGTAAGGTTCAACATAAGAAAACAAATGTGAGGATGACGAGAGGAAAAACAAGAGATCAACATGAAAACATGAAAATGGTATGAGGGTTGTTGAACTAGCTAGATTGGATGGTGCTGATGTGGGGGAGTTGGAGGAACACAGCGAAGAACCGACCACTGATGAACTCGTAGCCCTTCACAAGCAGCAGCAACAAGAGAGCCAAGGAAATTTCTTCAGGGGAAGAGGCGGCAGCAGTAGAGAATGTTCCTTCCTCATTAAGAAAATGTGTGCAGTATGGGAAGAACTGCAAAATTTTGCTGAAAAATGTCACCCAGATAAAGCTGTAGCAGGCCGTTGCATTAACCATTTTAATTTAATGTGATGTCTCACTACAGACAAGTGTTAAAATGTAGGGAAAAACAAGTGTCTATAGACAGATTCTTAGTAAGACAAGCAAGCTGTGAACCACCACCAGGTCCTAGTGGTATGCCTGCAAAACATAGGAGAGTACCCAAGAGAAATCATCACTGCCTAATGTTATAATACATAGGGACTCTCCTTCCAAACACAAACACTTCTCCTCCTCCTCCTCACCATCTTCCATACACCAACAAGAGTCATCAATGAAGGTAAGATATAAATAACTTGTACATACTGTAGTACAAATTATTTGTAGTATTATGTATAAAATGTATTTTGAAGTTAATATTTGAGAGTGAAACAGATTAATTCAATTTACATTATTTCTTATGGGAAAATTTATTTCAGTTTACGAACTGTCTCTTGGGAACGGATTAAATTCGTAAACGGAGGTACCACTGTATGTATGTACATATATATATACTGTATATATAAATGCCATATCCTCACTTCAAAACTCTCATATCTTTCTATACAAAAGCCCTATGCAATTCCTATTTCCACTATGTATTTGTTTCCTAATATACCAAGACATGCATATTTCAAGTACTGTATAAACAAAAAATGCTTTACATGATGTGATGCCTAAAGACAAAGGAAGAAATCCCAAAACTGCCACCACGGAAACACCACTCCAAAGCAAGGTGCACAACACCTCACGGACATGTGCACTTAAAATTCTGAAAAGAACTGGTTTAAATATTTGAGGATGTTGCTATAATGTAGAAACAATTCCACTTTTTATTTTAAACTCAATTATTCTCCAAAAATCTACTAGGAAAAACTTGTCTTAAATGAATCGTGTACATCAAAATAATATGATCTTCCCTTACAATATGAAATATTGTATACTGTACCTATATTCCAAAACCCACCACATTTGGGATAACATTACAAAATGTGTGAATGCTGCATTATGTTAATGTTAAAGTGTTTAAAATGTTCATCAAATTAATCATTAATGCAATGTACCAAAATAATGAAACTTTAGTTAGCGTGATATAAAATTAATTTTACATCTGCCAAATGAAAAAAAAGTACAATGCACACTTCGGGATCCAATTTTTCGAACCTGTGAATAGCCAACGGTGCCCAAAATTATGATTTGGGGACCAACTTAAAGAGTACTCACCAATAGCGGCCAGCATGACTATGTGGTGACAAGATCCATGCCAGAGTTGATCAATGTAAATTCTGCATCCAAATCGGCTGCACTATTTTCCGCTTTTGGAACAATGCCCACATATACCAATTACCTCATCATAAATTTCAAAAAACTTTTTTTCCACAACTACATACCAAATAACATGTCCAGATATATTATGCTCCATACCTGAGAACTTACCACATTTAATCAAGTTATTAAATTTAATTCTGTACCTATACCTATTAAAACACTAAAATCAATATAGCTGAGAATTTTTGAAATTACTAAATATTTTAAATTACACAGTTTCCACCCGGAACTAACAAAGCTTGTAAACTGACCTTCCTGATGGGCACCGGTAGCAGTAGAATATCACATGATGATCTACAAGAATTGCTAAACAGATTAAGGTTTTATTTCACTCTCTAGTATGGCACAACATTCAAAACAAACACATACTGTACATATTACAGAATTCACTGCAGCATGTATATACTCAACCAAAATTATGACTGATAATAACAAATGTGCAGTCTCCCTCCCCTTCCTATAAGAATATACCCGAAGCACATGCCTAAGTATCATTATGCATGACTTGCTATACAGTTGGGGAAAACTGTCTGTTAGTTTTATTTAAGTGGTAAAAAGATAACATTATGTGGCTAATGAAAAAAAACCTTTGGAGCAGTGTGGAATCAAATTCATGTCCTGAGTCATCCCAGATGCACTCGTTACCGACTAAACCACGATGAGGACTAATCTGTAATATACCTAGTGTAACCCAGGGCACAAGTTCGATTCCACACAATGCTCCAAAGATTTTCACATACATATATCACAATTTGTAATTTCATTGTGCATGTGACTAATATTATGTTGTGCAGAAACTGAAATGTTTGTGGTTTTGACAAGGTATGTGCAGAAATTATTAACTGTAGTGGAGAAAAGGAATACAGTCTGGAAAATTTTCCAGAAAGTATAAGAAAGTGATACTGTTTTAGATGACTGGAAAAGGAGATGCAATTCTATTTTCACACAACAAAAAATGAATGTTAAATGTAATGAACCTCCCTTTTCTGGTTAGGCCCTTGGTAGCCTCTGAGCAAAGCTTTTTGGAAATATGCACCAGACCTCCATGACCCATCTTTGCCTACCAGTTGCCATTACTCGAATCCATACCTCTACAAGGCAAAGGTAACTTGTGGATTAGATCGACCTAAATCCTATAAAATAACCCCACAAGAAAGCATTAGAACATAAAAACAACTGCCTGAAGAAAATTAGGTACCTGAAGGTAACAAGGCAAATAATTGTTGCCACAGAGTAAACACCTTAACTGTGATGCATGCACCCAACTGCCATTAGGCAACAGCCCAGGTCACCCGAAGCTCCAGCAGCCCATCTCATTTACAAATCGCTCAAATTAATTCCCTTCACCCCATGGGAAAGAAAATTACAGGGTAGGAATGAAGAGCTACTGAGGGTCAACCAATAGTAAAGGTCTAAGAATATTAGATATATTTGGCAAGTCATTGATGTATATAAGAAAAAGGTCCTAATATTCATGTTTCTTGTTAATTGTTTTAAGTATGCCATTTGTGAGCCAGAGATTGCTTATCTTTTTGGCAGTTATGTGCTTGGTGAGAAGAGGACAGTGTGTTATAGAAGCTAAAGGTTTGGTGAGGAAGATGTCGGTTAATAAATTTGTCATGTGCACTATTTAATTTAAATTCCCAGTTTACATTGTGAAGAGCATTTATGAGGCTGCTATTCCTGTTTTTGCCATGTAATCTAAAGGTTAATTTTTTGGGTATTTGATGGTATTTTGTCCATGCTATGAGGAAGGTAAGATGGTGATCAGTTGTTCTGTCAGTGATTATGCCAAGAGTGAGAGGGGCTGTTATGTTAGTCATATATGGCCCAAGGATGTAGTGAATGTTAAAGTGATTCAAGTGGGTTTAGTGATTGTAGGGATTAGCATACAGGGATTCATGCTGTTAAGGAAACATTCAATATAGCTATTTTGTTGACAAAGGTCAATGTTGAAGTCACCACTTAAAAGATATGATTATTATTGAGTTTATTTCTCATGATTAAATTCCTCAGATTATTTGAGAATGTAGCTTTGTGTTGGGAATCTATAAATAGCTGCAATCATTATAGGGGATTTCAACGTTTCACGAGGTCAGTATTATCTGAATAGCCTTCAATGCTACTCAAATAATACTTCATTTAAAACTAACTTTAAATTAGGGCATGAACTCACCTGTAGTTCGTTGCAAGCTAGATCATAAATATCTTTACTAGGCTTCTCGACATCCAAGTCACCACTCACAATTATTGAGTCAAAGTATTTCTGGCAGCCAGTATTGTTGATTTTCTCCCACTGGGCTACAGATGGACCTGAAATATACAATTATCATTCCCACTTTCAAATTTTCAAAAAATTATAACAAATATTCACTCCTGAAATTTCAGCACACAAACCAATTACTATCCACCACTTAGGAAGTAGTGTGATAAAAGAGCAGCTAAATAAAAAAAATATCCTACAGAGAATGCAGTCTTAGCAGCTGAATATAATAGCTTTGAAAAGCATGCTTCGTGTTAGGACTATCACCAGTACGTGATATGAGAAAGAAAACAGTGCATACCGTTAGTAATGAGGCCAAGGTTAAAATCAGAAGCAAGTTCATCAAGCATATCTGTTACGCTTTGTTTCAAAGAGAGGCGCTTTAGTCTTTCCGCCTTCCATATTGAGAACACATCATCTGAAAATATAAAACGGCACATTGTATACATTGCAAAATTCAATCAACAAAACACTAACATGGCATTGAACAATGTTGTGGATATTTGTTTATACAAGTGTTCATTTGATCAGAACAAAGTGTGTTCTATGCCCATAACCAATGACAAAAAATCTTACTATAGAAATGTAAGTTATAAATATAACATATATTTATGCATTCTTTCAGTAAATTTTGTACTGTGGTGTGAAATCTAATCACACCCTGCTTTTTTATTATACTGTAGTAAAATTAATCAATAGAATTACAACAAAGATAATTTTCAAAACTTTATTTCGCAGACTGGAAGTCACACAGACTGGAAGTCACACAGACAGGAAGGCATGTTAAGCATGAGGAAAGCATCTTGCCAAATCACATGCCTACCCCCGACCATAAACACAATGGGAGGGAATTATCAGGGGAAAGCGCCAAGCAATTAGCACTTGAAAGGTGTCAGGATAAGGATTTGGGATGGGACGAGGGAAAGGAATGGTGCCCAACCACTTGGACAGTCGGGGATTGAATGCCGACCTGCATGAAGCAAGACTGTCGCTCTCCCGTCCAGCCCAAGTGGTTGGGCCGACTCAAGAGGAGTCAACTAGTCATTGAGAAACCTGAACCTCTAAGAGCAGGTATCTCTGTTGGGGTAAGAGAAACATAAGCTGACTACCAAGGAAGTCAACTGTGGCTCACAATTGTAATAAAATACAAAGCTGGGGCACAGAATGTTGGTAGTACATAATTTCCTGGGAAAAGTCAACACCACTTAGCTGAAAGAATGAAGCAGAGAGCAGGCCATGTCAAAAGCACACCAGACATACACCAGGCAACTGATGACTGAAACCCACGGTTACCTGGTCCGCTATCTGGTGATGTTCAGCCATATATAAGGCACTTCTCCACAGATAGAATCATGCAGTGGCCACCCTGAAGCCATCAACACAGCCACTCTCCTGGTCAACAAATGTGTCCAGCAGCTGGACACCCTCATAAAGACTGTGAAGCAGTATCCTCCCCCGCGATAACAGCTTGATGGTTAAAGGCAACCTCAGAATACTGAGAAAAAAAAAAATTGTACCACTTACGGGCTATTCATGCCCATGCCACCACGCCATTTGGTCCGGGAGACATCTCCCGTCACACAGGGCGCAGTCGCGCCTCCACAGATCTCCAGTATTATCTCTTGATACTGTACTGGCAATAGCTCAAAAGGGCCACCACTTACGGGCTATTCATGCCCGTGCCACCTCTTGGGTGGCTTAATCTTTATCAATCAATCAATCAATCAGCTATAATCATTAGCCTTGTTTACATCAGGATTACTGTTTTCATTCAAGCAGTCACTTGTTCTGTTATGCCTAACCTTTCTGGTCTTTCTGGTATTTTTTTTTATTAGTTTTGGGTAGATCTCTGATCCTCCAGGCTCCTCTTGCCTCACAGAATGAGCCAGAATCTAGTCTTTGCTCCCAATAGATGAAGATTGGTCTTAGAGGCTTGGCTATACAAGAGCTTAAACTCTGGGAGCTATTTGAGGGGCCTCATCAAGAAATATGGACATATAGTAATTACAATATGCTCGGTAGTATTCAAAACAGATAAAGTGATTATAGTTATAAGTTGCAATGTGATTGTAACTTATCCTTAGGTAAAATAAAATAAAATAAAAAATACAGTACTGATTTAACAATTTATGATAACTACCTTTATATCTTTTTCTAATGCAATACAGTATTGATATAACAAGACAGATGGTGATGATACTTTAATGTATTGTAATGGCAACACATCCTTGGCTAGAATAACAAACTATAGTTACAAAATATTGATGTTTCAAGGTTATTATGACCAGTATCTATACATGACATACTGGACTCGGGCATAATTTTTAAGGCCAGAGAACCCAGCTGAATTTTACAGACTGGAATTTTTTTTAGGCATGGATAAAAAAATTCAAAACTTTTTGGAGAAAGTAATCAAGTTACTTTTTGACACCAAACATTAACAAAGATACAATAAGATTATTTAACAAAGAAAAAATACACACTTTGGTCTATGTACTGGTCATATTTGTGAGGTAAAACTGTTGCCCAGATATCCAGTCTCCACTTGTCCAATCCATTTATGTCTGTCGAGTAATCTGGGGCTGGAGCTTCTCGAAACTTCTGAAGAAAATCTTCTGTAATCTTTTTGCTCTCTGCTTCAGGCAGCCCTTGCTTTTCAAGCCATGATGTAACCTACAAAATATTAAATCACATTAAAGTTACACACTACTGCTAATTAGAACACACAATATAACAAGTAGGCATTAACAGATCACAGTGTTGTAATCAAGGGAGGTACATTTGACCTCCCAGCACAGTCTAACCTCACAGTACCATCATAGAATTCACCTTGATAATATTTCATTTTCCGAGTTATTACCTTCAGTTGGTATCTTATGCAAGAACCTGCTCACCTTTGATTAGGATCTGACAACACAATATTGTCACTGGTGATATTTTCAAATTGTCCCCCCATCAGATAATATAACAATAATAGTTTTTATATATGCTGTACATTATAGATACGGATATATTAGAACATGTTACCATGGGCTATAAGAAGGTGTATAAGTATATTACATTTTATATTAAGCCACTAATATGCAAAGTGTTTCAGCATAAAATAATTCAGCCTATCCCCGTGCTGTACAAGTACAATACTTATAGTAATGACGTTAAGGCATAATGGTCAATTAGAAAGTAGAATTTGGTACTGTACTATTGAATTTGGACAAACTAGAAAAGGTTTTGTATTTATGTTGCTAACAAAATCTAACCTAACTATCCTAGGCCTAATGCACACTATCTGAGGCAGATTACAGTACATACACTATGTGCTATATTAGGCCTAGGAATACTGTACTTAAGTTTGGCTTTTGGCTTTATTTTTTCTTGACTATTATAAAGTAAAGTCCCAAATTCTACTAATTTTCTATTACATCCATGAATGATGGTCCACAGTTACAAAAAGTATTATCTAAACAGGAGGATGAGTTGAATAATTTGGATAATTTATTTATAAATTAAATGGGGTAACTGGTGCTAGTGGAGCCCAGAGTGTAGAGTGCGCTTTACTAAACTCTAAAGAAGTTCTAGGTGCAGCTTGGCAATACAGATCTATATTATAAGCTGCACTCTGGCTAACTACAGAACAACTGACATAAAATCCTTAAACCAACCCCCTCTCATTCTATCCTGATTGGCATAGACTGCAGGTTGTGGGGAAGCAGAAATCAATAATTTCAGTTAAGGACCATATATTGTACTTAAACTTTGCATTTCATTTGTGCAATAGGCTTATTCTAAGTTAGTGAACATGTGTGTGTGCAAATAATTATGTTGTGTCTAAATTAACTAATTGGTGATCAGTTTTTCTCTTTGCCTATCATCTTATACTATTCAGCAGAGGTGATTCTTTCTTCAGTTTCCCCACTACACTTAAGGTGCCAAAGTACTTTATGCCAGGAGCTTTGGCATTCAAACCAAGCATGGCCTATTAAATAATGAAACCTAACATTCTGTTCTTCCTGTTACGGTTGAATATATGCACCAGCAATGGTATTTCTTCCCTTTAATTTCCATTATATTTGCCACTTCTTAGCTTTGTGTTTGGAAATGTACATATTCTGTACTGTGTGTTCTCTTATGCCTGGAAAGTACTGTAGTCAATAATACTCTTTCTTGGAGTTGATGGTCTGGAACTTCACAGGTGCTCTGTCTTACTTCCTAGCTGCTCAGGAAAGAAGAAGAAGATATTCATTCTTGTTCCTCGTACTGTACATGAAAGGAACTATCAGGTATACTTCACAACTGAATCAAACTCATTTAAATTTCAGGTCCACATCTGCTGCCTTGCTGCAGCACCAAGCCTCCATCTCTTCCTAGTTAGTCAGCAATTCATTGTTTCTATTGTTAGTTGTTCTACCATAAATAGGTGTTTAATTGAAAGGTTCTCCTACTTTCAAAATATTATGATGCGATGCAGATATTAGACGAATATGAACTGCCAGACATACTGTATTGTCGGATCACAGTTGGGTGTAGCGATACACAACCATTCACACTGTTGGCTATAGTAGAAGTTGAACAAATTGAGTCAAAGTCATGTGTGACTATTTCCAATGTATGTAACACTGAATAAGCCAGTAGTGGATATCTTATGAAGGGTACAAATAAGGAGGAGGGGAAGAGGCAAGAGATTTGAAAGTATGGGAAGAGTTAGTAAGAGGAGGGGTGGAAGACTTACATAGCATGAAGTATGAGACCTCCTTCAACCAAAGATAAACCAAGGTCTTTCATAGTAAGGAACGACAGTATTTAGCTTTAAATTCACATAAAATAGCCCTCCAACTCATTATTAAAGAAAGTAAGTAGAAGTCTACCAGGCTGAGTATCTCGAGCAACATTTCCCTGGCCCTCGGAGGGTCTAGGACTCTTGGTGCTGCACCTGCCATGTGCAAGGCCTGTATTAACAGTTGGGCTGATCATCAATTTGCAAATGAGTGTAAGTTTACATAATATTAGTCCTTAGAGGTAGAGTGCTAGGCCATATTTTTGTCAACCTCAGTTTTCCAGTGATAATATTTCAACTCCCCTTTCTTATCTCTCCCAGTAAATCCAGTCTTCCCCAGATTAGAAAAATTGATCGATTAGTTGAGAAATATGTTGAAAATCTCACTGGAGACTTATTTATGTATAACTGTTAAGGAATTATGAATAAGGTTTATTGATGGTAGGCATTCTTGGAGAAGTGTGTTGTGTTTGATGAGGTGTGGTGGAATGGTAGAGATTGGGTGTGAAGCTGATGTGGTATTACATTTGAGTAAAGTGCTTCTCTTAAGTCTCTTCTTTTTGAGTAAAGTAAAATCTTAAGAGTAAAGTGCTTCTCTTAAGTCTGGTGGATTAGTGACTTATATAAAATAGTAATACAGTATTATAATTTATTATGCAGTATACTGTATAGTGTTACCATTATATTATTCAGTGATGTGTTGTGATATACAGTACTGTCCAGTGTTTTGAGTTATTTCTAGGATAGGAGTGAAAGACTACATCATTTTAGTTACTTACGTGCTCTCATCAGATTAAGTCTGGAACAATTACGCGTTAAGTATTTCAGGTTGTGTGTAATTACCCAGTTGTTATTTTCCATGAGTAAACAAATTCATCCCAGTACAATAATTCCAGTTATTAAAGGTTAAGTAAGTTTATTAACTTAGTGCCTAGTTATTAGTGTTTAACTTACTGTACTTTTGCATTTATTTTCTTATTATTTGGATCTGAATAAGAAAAATGAGTAATTAGCTAGGATGAAGAGAATCCAGGCCAGGAGACACCCCATAGCCGACTTGCACCAGGTATATTAACCAAATGCCAAATCGTCCAACTCTGTTAGAATTCCAAAACCCTCAATCCTGACTATCAGCCCAGGACATGATGGAGAAAACTGCGGCCACCGCAGTGTACTTGCAAACATCACGGGTCTGAGGGGTAGACCATAGTCTGGCTAAATTTGATGACACCACGGACAACCTGGGAAATACAAGTCTTAGAACTGGGGACCAAGGAAATGGGATCAGCCAATAAGGCATCCACTGAGGCAGAACCGGTGACCTGCAGGTAGCGACAAAGGGGTGCAACCGGTGACCTGCAGGTAGTAACAAAGAGGTGTCACTGGATACATCAAGTTATGCACTCCTGGCTGGACCAACCAGGCATCAACCACTATTGGACCCCTCCAAAATACCTACCAGACTCATTCTTTGCCAGAAAAGAAGGCTGCAAATAAACTGCACACTAGGGCCAAAGGAACAAAAAACCCACCTCCGGAGAAGAGCCTGAATCTCCACAATCCCATCTGGAGGCAAGAGCCAACAAACACACATGCTTAAAGAAAAATATTACAAGCCAAATGGGAAATCATAAAACAAGGCAAAAAGATGAAGACCAATACCCAGTCAAGAGACCAGAATGGCTCAGGAGAAACAAGAGCTGGCCAGAAGTGAAAAATGCACATTATAGCTTGCGGAACTGCACCGAGGCAAAGTCGATGCCAAATGCAAGCAATAGTGGCTCCACCAATGCTGAGTGATGAGAAGTGGCCCTATTAGGCACGAGATGCCGATCTCAAAACAATCAAGACAAAAAGGACAGGACATCCTTGACCAAAACTAATGAAAGATGACAAAGAGAGAGAGAGTGGTGAAACGAGCGTCAGACAATCTCATACTGCTGCCCTAGGAAAAGACGCAGGTAGGACACCATCAAACCAGGCACCTAACTTGCCATACAAATGGCGATAGACATGCATCAAACTCTCTAGACACGTAGATCAGAGAAGGTTGCGCCAGCCAAGTACAGCATCAGGCCAATCTGCTGAAAGAGGCAGAACTTTAAAAACATCCAGGTTTAGATACTGGACTAGAAGTGGTGGAAACTATGGCTGGGCTGCCACCAAGGATGCAGAAAGATCACCCTCCTGAACGCCTCAGCGCCTCACAGCTGGGTGGACAGCGCTTCGGATTCGTAGTCCTGAGTTTCCAGGTTCGATCCCCGGTGAAGGCGGAGACAAGTGGGCAAAATGTTTATTTCACCTTGATGCCCGTTACCTAGCAGTAAATAGGTACTGTACCTGGGAGTTAAACAGCTGCTACAGGCTGCTTCCTATGGGGGGTGTAACAAAAAAGAAGCCTGGTCGAGGACCAGGTCACGAGGACACTAAGCCCCGAAATCATCAAGATAACCTCAAGATACATCCCCCAAATACGACTCAGAACTCAGAGCAACAAATGAACTGGGGGTAAGAAAAAAGCACATCCACCTTGACCAGTCTAGTTGAAAGACATCCATCGCAGCAGCCTCACAATCAAGAAACAAGGCCACATAGGAGGGAAGGGGCCAGCTCCATACTGACAAGAAGAGGTCCACCTTGGAGAGACTGAACATCTCAAAGATCCAACAGACTGATGCATCATCAATTACTGCCCTCATTTTTCTGTCAGAACATTTTTCCCATGTTAGATGCCTATCTGTCACACCTCCAATATGTTCCAGTTTCCAGAACAACCTCTTATGTGGAACTCTGTCGAAAGCCCCTTTTTTAGGTATAGATAGATGCAGTCAACCCAGCCATCTCTTTCCTGTAAAATCTCTGACTCGATCATTGAAACTGAGTAAATTCGTTACACAGGATCTTCCAGATCGACAACTATATTGTATCTGTTACTATATCAATAGTAACAGGTTTTCCAGGTGTTCTACCCATTTAGTTTTAATTATTTTTTCCAATATTTTGACTATTACACTTGTCAATGATACAGGTCTTTAATTGAGGGCATCTACATGTGTGGGTATGTGCACGAGTGCATGCAGTGCCTCCCAAACTTGCCCAATATAATGTATTAAGTATTTTACAAAATTATTTCAGATTTTAAATTTCTATTTTGTCACTGCTCCTACACAATAAATATTTAACACAACACTGTTTTAGACCCCATGCAGAAAACACACACTGTATAATAGACAAAAGAAAATCCTCTCCAATGCACCCCTGCCCAAAATTACTTAAAATTCCTCCCTTGGGGTCCAAGGGAACCTCTCCGAGAAACACTGGGACTAGCACAACATTAAACCCAATACAGTATCAATTAATGTGCATGTTATTTAGACTAAATTAAGCAGTTGAACCTCTGCAACATTTATTAATATCTCGGTTGGCCTAGATATTCTTTTAACTAAGGAATTATTGTATTTGATATTTTATCCAGCCAATTATTATTCAACCATTCTATTATTACCTTAGCATTTTTATGCAAATATTTACTCATACATGCCCCAAAATCATCTCAAGATAAGATACAGTACTGACAAAGTAACAGTATATTCCTAACATAATTATTACAGCGAAAGGCAATGATACACCAATTAAAATTCGTTTGTATTTACAAAATTACAATTGTACATGTATCTTACAAAACAAGCACCAAGAAAATACATACCGTAACTCTGTTCAAAATTAGCATTTTAAAAAGTATGATAATGACCATCACAGTCATCACTATGCATGACCTTTACAATTAAATAAATAGAAAAATATACACATTGAGCTCATTTTTTCCTTGCTATCACATCTTTGATTTCATTACTACAGTAATTACTTTGTGCACTAAACTATTCATGGTTTATCTCCAACTAGATTCCACTTCAAAGTAAATAAATAGCCAGCCACGAGTGCTGAACTGAAAGGAGCCTTCCACATGGCTTTAACATGTCAGCTTATTACTAATTGCTTACATTATACTCATTTATTAAATACAGTCTCCAAGTATTCCAGTATCATAAGATGAATTATTCAAATTATTTTCAAGTGTATGCCACTTCTTAGCAAATCAGTTACAGATTCAATCCTCAATAGTAATAAACTAAATAAATATTTAAGTACTACAGTATTATGTTTTGTCTTGTGTCAGTGATTTACCATATTGCAACAGCACCTATTATTTCTTGAGAACCTACTGCAACATTGCTATTACTGTATTAAAAATCTTACAAGGTAAATACAGTATTTACAAAAATAGGTACCTCGTGGTTTGTTTATTATAAAAGAATTTTGAAAATTTTAAGTATACTGTACTGAATTCAGTATAATTACATTACAAAACATCTTAATAGTGCCACTCCTGAATGAAGATTTGAAATATTTTCCAGAGAATCACACAAGTTCCAACAATCGAATTACCTAATTATCACCTAACTACAGCTGCTCCTCTACATACATCTGGAAATGGTTCTTTGTAATTGCTGAAAATATTAACCCTTAAACGGCTCCAATTGCTAGCTGCGATTGCCTTCTGTGCTTGAGTCACCAAGTGCTACAGTTTTCATTTACAATAATGCTTGTAGCTCTGACAAACAAAACAGGTGAACAGCCAACAGACATAAGCAATTTGTCAGTAAATTATATTATCTAAAGAAACACCGAATAAAACAGTGACTAATTATACAGCAGTCGTTTAAGCAAAACAATAATTATAATTAACTTTTGGTTTCTTGTTAAATGTAATTTTTTTTGCTATGCAGTATACAAGTGTCTGAACATTTTCCTAAGTAACAATAATCAAATACATTTGATAAAGAACAATACATTACGAGTATTGCTAAAGACATGCCATGAAGCAAAGTACAGTATACAGATTAATACACTTTTACGCAATGATAAATATTTGAAATTAACAATTCTTATTTAAAATACTTCACACAAAACAACACAATATATGCTGTATTACTATTGTAAACAATTATTTTTATCTCATTTAAATTAATTAATTTTGAAGGATGAGTACTATAATGTCTTTTGTGGACAGGATATTTTACAACATAAGAAAATTATATTTATAAACAGCAAATATGACAAATCATTAGTTATGAACAAGCTGACTTTTGAACTACCCTGTACTAAACTAGACACAAAAAACAATGATTCATGCCTACACTGTTTTGAGAAAATATTATTACAATTACATTGAGAATATAATGATTCAAAATTAATAGTTTAATAATATGGACCCGGATTCACAAAGCAGTTACGCAAGTGCTTACGAACGTGTACATCTTTCCTCAATCTTTGATGGCTTCGGTTACATATATTAAACAGTTTACAAGCATGAAAACTTTCCAATCAACTATTGTTATTGTTATAAACAGCCTTCTGGTGCTTCGGAGCTCTATAACTGTTTAATAATTGTAAACAAAACCGCCAAAGATTGAGAAAAGATGGACAGGTTCGTAAATGCTTGCATAACTGCTTTGTGAATCTGGCCCCTGGTTACTATGTAATAAAGGTTTTATGGCAATCGGTCACAATCAAAGACATATTCCCAACATAGTAAATATTGTCCAAGCCACCGATCCATTTATCCGATATTTATCAGATATCTGATCTGAGTTTTATGATGATATACATTTGTTAACAATTACCTTTATCTATACATCCTAATACTAATAATTGCAATCTATAAATGGACATTTGAATAAAGATAATACAAATTTAATTTCAATCAACTGGAAATTAACCAACATGTCACAAGACCCACACATGGCACAATCTGGATGGTTTAACGTTCACTACGTGACTTTTGAACAGGTAGCAACAAAATTCCAACTTCATAAACAACTTGTGTGACAATTACTACTATTCAAATCTAATGCCCCATTAATTATAATAATGAATATCAAAGGTCCAATACCATGTTGCTTAGACTGAAATAAATTATAAAATTACAATACAAAGTGACTAAACATGCAATATGCATCGTTTCATTTTTTTTTAATTAAATCACTCCGTACACAGAAAAGACTTGCTTATATAAACACATATGTTATACTCTTACCTAAATTTACTGCACAGTAATACTAAAAGTGTTAAATGTTATATATACATATAGCAAGCTATAATTTTGAATAATGAAGTACAAAAAAATCCTCAAATTTTGGATAAAAAGGCAATTTACAAATCCTTCATGGTACTGAATTACATAGGATTGTCAAAGTTTAAAATAATGGATATTTATGTCCATTATGTAGCTGTCCTTAAGGTTCATACAGCTCAGTCTGTTCTTACAGACCTCATGATACATCAACATTTCAACCTAGTTTTACATAATTATGATGCTTTAACACCGAATACCTTTGATAACTCTTCAAGTTTGTGATTTCGACAAACTTGTTCCACTCCTTTCTCTTTTAGGATGTTATAAGCAGGCTTAGAAGATTTAGAAAGAAGGCAAAGGAAATCCTCAAAGGCACTTTTAAGTCCAACATCCAATCCACCTTCTCGTACAGACAATAAGGTTGCGATAATTGTCTGAGGCCACTCACTTTCTATCAAGAAATCACATAGCCATGGAATAATTGGAAGAAGAAGACTAAGGGTATGCATGCCTAAGAACCAAAGATCAATAAGGCTGCACCAGTGAAATTCATATCTTGAGGATACAACCAAAGTTGCATAATCACGACTCTCCTCAACATTGTGAGCATCCCAAAGAAACCGAACTATGGTTTGAACAAATCTAAATATTGTAAAATCGGTGCTTTTAACATTAATGTGTTGGTGACGCAATATCATGAGTCCCAAGGTGGATGAATTTCCACACAATCTAAGATAACGTACCTCAGAAGGTATTTCAGGCACCTTTGTAAAAATTAACTTTAGAAGGGTATAGTAAAATAGATCACACTTTACTCGTTCTGGTTCTTGCACTACTATGTTCATGAAGATATTGCTAATAGTGTCCATGGCTTCACAAGCAGAGTAAACCCTATCAGAGGGAATTTCCAATTCTTCTTCCTTATTCTGAGGACCAAAAACACTTTTTATACTATTCCAATGATAATTAAAATATTCAAATAACAAATTTTCAATTTCTAGCTCCAGCAAAATATGTCTTGAGACATCTTCTGCTGTTAAATGGCACAAGCCAGGAAGCAAGAATCTCAGAACATCTGGCAACCTGTCTTTACTATCCTCTCTATAATAAAACTTAGACTGGCCCTTTTTCTTTGATTTCATTACAGTTTTCCTTTTGTTGTGCTCAAAGTTGTACCTGCTTATTTTTATTATAAAAGGCAGTGTCTCATAGACTTCTTCTTTGTTGGCTGCTGTCTCCTCAGCTAACCATGCACCCAAAACACGAATAGTTGCACAAACAAACAAATGATTTTTAGAGTTCTCCAAAAATGAATCGTCAACCGAAGTTCCATTTAGAAATGTAAGAACTGCTTTAAAAGCTCCTTTTAGAGCAGCATATAACTGCTGTTTCTGTTTTTGCTCAAAATCAACAGCACCATTCACAAGAAAGACTATAGCTAGTTCTAATATAGTGTAACAAGCAGTTGTTGGAGATGCAAGAGCAACAGCTTCTTCAAAAGTCTTATCTTCTAAGCTCATGCGAACTTCTATGCATGCCAGATGAACCAGCATTAGCAGCAACTGCCTGCCCTTGGTCTCCCCTGTTGTTCCAATCTCTGCTTGTAATACCCAGCTTACCCCAAGACATTCCATAGCTGTCCCAGCTAACCTTAATCCTCTATCACGAAGCTCACGACCTAATTTACTAAATATGATATCACACAGACCTTTATGCAAATCTTGCTTCCATTCTGGTTGACCAGTTTCCACAGTAGGTAATGGAAGACTTTGTAACATTTCTGAGAGAAAGTCACACAGTGTGAACTTATGTTCTCCATGATCAATTGCAAACTCATGTGCAACATGGTTCATGAGTTTTGTAAATGACTCTGGCTCATCTTCCCATGTTCGAGTACCTTCCTCAGTAAGAACCATTAAAAGAATCTCCAATGCATCTTCATAGCAAAAACTCTCAACAATGTAAGCATCTACAAGTGATCCTACAGCTTCAAAATCAATTATAGCTTTTCTTCCACCTTTTTCAGAAGCTATACTTTTTAAACACTGGTAAGAATCTTTAATTAAAGTTAGATCGCCATCATGCAACTCTGGCTTTGCAATTATTTCACTTAGTACTGGAATGAGTCCATACAAAGTCTGATTGCCTAAGCAAGAAGAAATGAAGCAAGTTAAAATAGTCAGTGCAATGGACTTAAACATATATGGTGGGCAACCTTCTGGAACCTCATTGGTCCGCAAGAGTCGAGCAAGAAATGGCAAACCCACTGCCTCCATAAGTTTTTTCTTATTTCCATCATCTAATTCTTCTGCCTTGATAAGCTTTGTTACCATTAGAAGTGCTGCAAATCTTTCAGTGTCGGAGTTAGCTCGTCTCAGAATCATAATGCCTCGCTCGACTGGGCCGAGCATCGTTGGAAGCTCCCTGACTGTCCTTTCTTCCTTGGTATCTTCCAATTCCATCTGGTCTGATTCACTGTTAGCCTCTGGTTGGTCTGCACCAGGACTTGAAGACCGGCTACGTCCACAGCTGGCCATATTTGCCAATTATCTACGTCTTTGCATAAACTGAAAGCAAAGGGATTTTTCAGTGTATATCACTCAACTTCAACAATTTCCTTTATGTGAACATTATTTCATCACCTAAACTATAACAGAAATTCTTTAATGCAATTCATTGCAGTACTAAAATAAAAAGCTTGATAGCTTAAACAAAATTACTGTATTTCCACTTGAATACATGGTAAATACTGTACTGTATCTTTATGCATTATGTCTTTCAAGATTCACAATATCTATCAATTTTATTAGAAATTAGTTTATGATGGAAACAGAAGATACATATTCTGTACAGTAAGTACTGTAGTCATTGAAGGTCAGGGATAAACTATAAACAGATAAGAAATGATGTCTGGGTTTATAAAACAATCATTCAGATGACTGGGCTTTCAGACCATTTGATTAATCTGCACCACTTTCACAGTGCCGTCTTTTTCTGGTGCCCTCTTCTATCATACATGTACTGTACTGTCCGTATATTTTCCTATAAATTCCTACTTTTATGATTACCGAGCCAATTTTCACACTTCCCCTTAAATTTGTATTTCTCATTACAAACACATGGTTATTGATTCCCATGTGCAGTTATTTGGCAGATTTATTAAGCACAGTACTCCTTTGCATGTGCAACACATGATGGATCAGTATTTACAGTATGCTCGGCATTAGGTCACCCCTGTTAAGAAGGGAATGGGGGTTCCCGAAGGAAACAATGAACTAGGATTTGGAAACAAATATTAAACACAACATGCAAATGAAAGCAGTCATGGGAAACAAAATATAAAATAAATAGTTTTTACAGTATTTAATCAAGAGGGAAATTCCCAGGTTGTCTCGATACATGTAAAAGTCATGTAGTTAGTACAGGGGATGCAGGAGTAGTGTGTTATAATGAGAACAGAGTGCTTACAATGATTACAGGGTGCTATAACAAATACATGGGGCAGTGATAGAGATAAGGTGGTATAATGGGTACATGATGTAATACTGAGAATGGAGTATAATAAGCTTAGGCTGGTACAATGATAATAAGGGGTGAAAGAGAGATTGTTGTAATATGTGTCATGAGATAGAGTGGTGTTGTGATGGTATGTTAGTGGAATTGTGGTGTGGCGGTACTGGGGGTACTGTTGCAGTATTGTGGTGGTATGAATGTATGTAATGTTATGGAATTTGCTTGGTGTGGTGGTGATGTGTGCTGTGTTAAAGAAGTGGTAGAGGTGATGTGGTGGTCATTAATTTTTATTTGTTGATAAATTTTTTGTTATTGGGTGGTGTTATGTCCAATGGTGGCATATTGGATGCTGGCCCTGCCTCCCCCACACACTCATGAGAGGTTTACAAGGTCCATGACAAAACTTCACTGACCAACTAGCAAGTATACTTTGGTCTTGAACACACTCAAAGACTAAAGTTTATTTGCAGTACAATACAGTATATACATAGAGAAGTACAATTCACCCCCTCTGTATTTATTAATCTGCAAAGATTACCAGACATTGAATATGAAATAATGGTACAACAGTACTTTGTATTGATATTGGTGTTGCTAGTCGAGGCACTAGTGGTAGAGTGAATAATTGTACCCCAATAATTGTACAGTACTTATAGTAGTTAGGTTGCTAGGTGACCTGACTCAAAAGTTGTAACCCAATTTGTCATATCACCTGCTAATAGAGATGTGTCATCTCTCAAGAACATCCAAATTATCTTGAATGTTCAGATCTGACCAATCTACCTTCCCCAGGCAGGCCTAACTCCCGTCCCTCATAATCAAGTAGTGTGAGTGTGCCTGGATATTTGTCTGTACTCACCTACTTGTGGCTGCAGGATCAAGCTTTTAGCTCTTGGATCCTACATTTCTAGCTGCTAGTTGTGTATTGCAACGACTCCTGCTTCATTTCTCCATCAAATATACTTTCACAATTATGAATGGAGCTCACTTTTACAACTTGTTCATTTCATTTTCCCACGGGCCTGGCTAGGGAGAAATGTTTCTGACAAATACACGAGACCTCGTAGATTTGAAGTGGTATCACTACCATTCGACATATGTTGGGGATATTCCACAGCAGGAGGTTAAATTCAAACAGTACTCACCTAGTTGTGCTTGCGGGGTTGAGCTTCGGCTCTTTGTTCCCACCTCGGGGTTTATGTCTGCCTCTGTGTGTATCTGTACGTCCACCTGTGTCTCTATGCCCGCCTAAATCTATATGCCTGTCTGTAATCGCCTAACTGTGCTCGAGGGGGTTGAGCTTTGGCTCTTTGGCCCTGCCTCTCAACCGCCAATCAACTAGCGTACAGATTCCCGAGCCTATTGGGCTCTATCATGTCTACATTAGAAAAAAAAATGGTAGGCAGCTGGAACAAGTGAGAATGGATGACAAAACCATCAGTACATTAGTTTCAGAGCATCATATGGCAAGAGTAGTGGGAAGAAAAGGCCCCCATGAGTGTAGCTTGTATTCTCTAACTACACTTGGGTAATTTCTTGGGTAACTACATCCATCCAGTGTGCATCAGTGTTAGTACAGGACATCATACTGATTTGAAGTACTCAAGATATTTCTTGAACATTTACAATATTGTATTGTAGCTCAAAATTCACCATTTTTTTTTAACATTCATCACATGCTGATTCTGAGTACCATATGCAATTAGTTTAGACAAGCTTACATTAGCTCAGGTTTACATTGACAGGTGATACAAACTACCATACATACTTATAAACAAGCCAAAGTAATAACATCTATAAATCTACTGACTTTATTTGATGATAAATAGATATGGGGCTCTTATTGCATGTTAGCATGATGATAGATGGAATAGGTAGTGCAGATCTGCAAACTTTCATTAAGGTTCTCAGTGTATTATTGGTCTCAGGCTGTAATAGGTATTCCAAGAATGTAGTCCAGTCCTCCTCTAAAGACATTCTTTGACTAACTCAATAGTTTTTTAATGTGTTACCATCATCAATATTTTGCATTGAATCTGTGTCTAGCTTTACACACATTTACCTATATTAAATTCATCTTCAGGAGTTGAGTGCAATTAAGGATGATAAGGCATTACTTACAATTATAGTAATGTATCAGTTTTAGTGATAAACATTTGAGTGCTTAGTGCAGGACTAAAGGAGTGATGTTACGAAATATCAGTTTGAGAGAGGGAGTCCTCAGCAAGTTAAATATCAATCTAGGCTAGTATGTAATGTTTTGCCTGAAGGCAAATCTTGGGCCGATCTTCAATTTGCTTCTTGGATGGGAAGGGAGGGATTATAGAGTAATTTGGAGAGGGGAAATCTCCCATGTGAGGTTGGGGCAGTACAGATTGTGAACTTTATGCATTCTGAGTTCAATTGCCATTTTAATTATCCATTTAGAAAAATAACTGACATTCAATAAAGAAGGTCTAAAAGGCTCTTGTGTATGGGTTACGTTGAGTTAGCCAAAGCATTTTTACACCATTTACCAGCATAACAATTTCAATAACACAATGACATTTTAGAATACTAAGTTGCTGAGTATTGGGGGGGGGGGGACTCTTTTTGCCCACGTTTGGTCCCACGATTCGTGGGTTTCTCGGGTTGTTTCATTCAGCCTCTGGTGGAAGTCTCTTGGCGGTCCTTCCGTTGTTTTTTATCTTCGTAGGTTTTCGTCAATTTCAGACAGGGTTGTTTTGTCCTTTCTCTTTTGGCTTTTTTCTTGACCAGTATCTTATGCTAAATACTGTCGCTTCTTTATTTTTAGCCTGCCTAACTTTTATTACCAGTCATGATAATTTGCATCATGACTGAGCATCATAAAGCGCTCTGCGCAGCACGGTGGTTAACAGAAAACAAGCAATGTCAAAATGCCTATGAACAATTTTACTATACCCTTCACTAGTGCAGAATCACCAGGAAATACACCACTAGTTTAACAGCACTAGGAACAGAGCTGGATTACCAAATAGGCCAAGTAGGCCTATTGGGTAATTTTGGGGGACCATAAAAAATAGATAAATATCAAATACAGTACTGTACTTGAAATAATCAATTACTTTGTAACACGTCCCAATTATTTTTTGGTGTAATTCCTGTACTGTACACATTGTCACGTGGGTTTTCAACATTACATGTGATGTTTCACACAATTGAGCAGCAGCAACAGAGTAAAGAGTATTACTTGTTTTTATTTACAATTCATTAATGATGTATTCTACTAATATTAGCTCATCCTTTTGCTTACATAGTATGTTTTGTAACTATGTGGACCATTGTACATATATTGACATAATGGACAATTAGATAGCAGAATTTAGTAATAATCACCTTAAAGAGACTGGAAAAATAAAGTTAAAACTAAACAAATATTCCTAGGCCTAATATAGTACATATGGACCATCTTAGGCCTCAGATAGCATGTTACCTGTATTAGACTTTGGAAAGTTAGGTTAGGGTTTACTAGCATCATAAATACAAAATCTTTTCAAGTTTGTCCAAATTCAATGCAGGTAGTACCAAATTCTAATTGCCCATTACATACACATCAATATATGTATAAAGGTCCACATTGTTACTATAGGTACTATCTAAATAGATTGGGCTGTCTATATACACAAGTTTTTTTTTTTTTTCAGGGATATTCCTGCATGGGCCCCTAAGCCTCTGGCTGGCCCACTAAGTGTTGCTTGTTTCTGTCTTACTTGGGCGGAGTATGAGTATTTACAACTCGTATGGTCGCGTCAGTAAGATTTTGTCCCATGTGTTTAACAACTGCTCCGTTGAATCTAAAGTTGAAATCTTAATGGCCTTTTAACTCTGCACTGTGTTAGATAATGTTCCAGTGGTCTGTCGGGCATTTCTCCACAGTGCTGACATTTATACACAAGTGATTGTTTACTGTTAGTTGTTGGGAATTTATAGCTTCAAGAATCATGGTTCCTGAATCGAAGCAGTCCCCGTGGCGCAGTGGTAAGACACTCGACCGGTGCTTCAGTGAGCATTCTGGCCTGGGTTCGTATCAGGCTAGGGAAGATTGGCTGGGTGCCAATCTTAACTGTAGCCTCTGTTCACCCAGCAGTTAATGGGTACCTGGTTGTTAAACGAATTGGCGGGTCGTATTCCAGGGAAAATTAGGATCAAAGACCTACCCAAAACGCTATGCGTGCTATTGGCTTTACAAGAATGTAAGAACTCTTGTATATATAAATAAATAAATAAATTTCTAGGTCTCTCAATTTCACCTGCTTCATTTCAAGGCATGGATATACTGCAGACTCTAGAGCAGGGTTTTTTAACCAGGGGGGGGGGGGGTTCAGGAAGGAGGGTTGCAACTCTGACCAAGTAAATTCATACATGTTGATACGGGAAAATAAAAAGATGCTAAATATAATACTTTAAAAACATATGAGGTAATCTTACAATTTGGGGTACAGTACTTTTTCTCTCTTCTTGAGTAATTGCAAATAGGTCATCCAAAAACTGAGTGGGGTATTGAAAGCATAAATTGAAAGCTAAAAAGCTAAGCAGGACTGGCATCTGCTCCAAAGCTTTTGGAATTCCTTTTTATTTAGTAATCATAGGTTTATGTATTCTATGGTGTGCATCGAAGTTTAGTGCAGTGAATGTGTTAATTATTTCAGCAAGTACTAGTGTTTTATTAAAAGCAGTCGGGTTAATTTTGAGTACTTTATTTTATGGATAAATGAATTAAAACTGAAATAACTACTGGCCTCTAGGTATTACAATGGAAAACTATGCAGCAAGCATAATATAACCGATAAATATTGTGAATTATTTGAGTATGTACTAATATTGTATTAAAAGCCATCCTAATTTTTTGGATGCTTTTATGTACTGTATACAGTACTGTTATTTCCTGGAAAAAGGAGGTAAAAGTACAGTACTGTATAGGAATATGGCCTCAATGTATTCCTCTGCAAACTTTGCATAATGTAACTTTGATAATTAATATTACATATTATTATGTACGAGCTGTCTACATGCATGTGTTTACCCTTTGAATAGCCACACTGACCAGGAAGTGGGGCCCAATTTAGCTGCTCTGACTTAGGACCCAAAAACACTCAGGTCCGGCCCTGGCTTGCAACACCATCACTAGTTTAACAGCACTTGGAAATCCACCACCACTAGTTTTACACCACCATTAAAGGCATCATCATCACTAAAGAACAACACTAGGAAACACACACCATCACAAGTGTAACAACACTAGGAAAATTACTCTCCTGACGGTCACGGAATTTTCCGAAAATTCTTTGTCGATGAGTAAGAAGGTACTTCCTACCCCAACCTTATAGGCTGCTCTGGGCTGCTCCTGGCTGCTTATCTCAACGTATTCCAGTCTTATCAATCAACCCAAACTTCGAATATCCATTACATCAATTAACAAAATAATGTGGAAGTGAAATGTTAGAGACGTACCACAAGACAGGTGGCGCGGTCCACTTCCCTGGTGAAGAGCAGCGTGTTATCGAGATCAAAGAGTATAGTGCTGATGATGGCCTCGGGGCTTCTCTCACTGCTGGTGCTGGTATGGTTCATCACTGAGACTACACTGAGGGAGGAGAGGTGTGGAGAGAGCGAGCGTGAGGCGGCGACGAGAACCTGACAAGACAGGACCACAGGAGGACCACAGGACACCTCAAGGTAACAGTTTGCGTCACCGCTCACACACAACGTTTCCACAACTTCCTATACCAAGTCTTCCCAGGGCCCGCATATCCCCTTTAATGCCTCTTGATTCGTATTAAAGCCAACCCAAGCGCGTATTCTCCACTGACAACCTCGGTATTAATAGATAAGTTAATTAAAGCAAGTAATATTTAGTATAAGAAGAAGCTCGAGGTATCGTACCCCCGCCAGCACCGCCTCCCCCTGGCCTCCTCCCCCCCCTCACCAAGCGGATCCATAATACAGTGTTGGGAAAGAGAGGTTTGTGAGGCTACCTTAACTCTGCAGCACCTGTGTGACACATTGCATACCTGGGTGATGTGGGAAGTTGGAGCCGAGCAGGAGAGTAGTGAGAGGACGCCGGGAGGCTGTGTGGCTGCTGCAACCCTCCCTCCTAGCACACGCTCTCAGCTGATCGCCCCCATGAACGTTTAGTCATGCAAGCACCAGCAGTCCCTCTATTATCTTCATTACTCTCTACTTTAACCCTACAAACCTTTCTGACAGGGTATTATGGATATGAATTTTTATATGCCAATTTCTGAGTAGTGTGTTAGGGAAGAAAATGTGTATACTTAGGATGAGTGACAGAGTGTCAGCCATTTGCCTTATATTTGCACTCCAGCAGCAGGCAGGAGGCCCCGCCACACGTCATACAACTCCACTCACATAACCAGAGCAAAGTTTAACTTTTACCAAGCCGCTGCTCTGACATTTGGCTCTTAACGGAATGCAGGGCCAATATAGCTGCAGAGATGTCATGGTTGGCTGTCCGTAAGAGTGAGGTTTATATCTAAACGGAGATTCAAGGTCAAAAACAAGAGTAAGAATATACCCAAAATCTTAGCCAAGTTTGCCTACTGCTGCTAACGTATATACCTTTATATAATCTCCCATTGCCTGCAGTTGAAAATCCTACTTATTGTATTATATAATATTGGAAATATATTGTTCGTCCTCGACTCACAATCAAGAATCCTGGGTTTAAATCCCGGGCGGGATATAAATGGTTGGACGCATTTCCCATCACCCAATGCCTCTGTCCACCTTGCAGTAAATAGATACCCAGGAGTTAGTCAGCTTGCCGTGGGGTTGCATCCTGGGAAGGGTCAGTAGTTTGACTCTGGGGAGGACCTCAATATAAGCCTAACATATGTACACCACGCCAGACGCATGGGGCTAGTCGCGCTCAATTTTTTACGGAAATTCCTGTGGAGTACGGCCCCACATGGGCGGGTCGGGGTTGGCATCGTTGAAAAGAGTGCCACTTGGCACAGTTTCAAAGCTACCCCAGTTGGAATTTTGCTATTTAGGCAAGAATCTGATTTGTTGAATTTTTTTTATGTTTTTTGCTGTATCATGAAACATTACGTTGCTGAACATGCCAAAATTAAAAAAAAAATCAACTCATAATATTTACCCTTTATATACCGAGTCCTGCTAACCAACCGACCCCCTTCCATTACTCATCAGCGAGCCTTCACATGTCCACCTGCATGAATACTGTACCACCATGCAACCCTGCCCTCTCACTGTACACATCTCTCAACGTCTCCAGACCCTCCATCTCTTTTCTATACACTTTTCCAGTATTAGTACTTGAGACATATATCTTTACCAGTGTAATCACCGCTGTTAACTTACATTGTAGTTATTTGTTGATATAAAACCTTGCTACAATGTACCTTTTCATCTTACCTGATATGTAAGATTAAGGACCTGCTCGAAACGCTCTGCGTGTTAGTGGCTTTGCATGAATGTTAAAATACCTGTCTTATGTAATCTCACCAACCCATTGTACCTGCTTGCAAATAAAAATTATTATTGTTATCATACACCCCCTGCCTCCAGAGAGTGACAGATAGATACCAAGAGAGAAAGCGACAGACCCACAGACAGTGAAACAAAGAGATAGAGAGATAGAGAGAGACACGGAGGCAGACAGTGAGAGATAGACACTGAGAAAAAGACATTGGGTTTGTGGAAGTAAAATAACATTGGTGTTTTTCCATTCTTGCAAAGCCACTCCTATAAATTAACTCAGGTTCAGTGCCTGTAAGTGAACACGGGCTCAGTTCTTGCTTTTAAAGGTAAATTAATTATGTCGATGTTCAGTTTCTGTGCCCTTTGCAAGCATTTTTGAACCCTATACTTGCAAGATACAGTAAGATTCTTATAACGGTTATCAAATAACCTGAGCGTTGTACACATTAATTATCGAAGGTTTCACAATCTCATTTGTCTGAATACTATGTCATACAGTTATATAACCTATTATATATAACACCCTCCGACATAGCAGATAAATAATGAATTAGACTTTATGTGGCACTCCTCTCTGTGTTGCCAAAACTGTAGTCTATTGCAACTTGCATTTAGGATATGTAACAGGAGAGAAATCCCGTATATTCGAAATCCAATTAAATATTAATATAAAAATTGAGATTTTTTTTGTAAATGTTAAATCTATGTAAGATATACATATTGATAACACAAAACTTCCACCAGATAGTGAGATTTGGCAGGTCGAGGTACCGCTATACCTGTGGCAGGTACCTGCAGATGAGTCTCCTAATATGATTGATGACTGATGGAGATTAAGCCACTCAAGAGGTGGCACGGGCATGAATAGCCCGTAAATCACCATAATCCATAGCGCCCTACTTAAGTAGGCTTAAAGTATGAAAAAGAATTGGGTCATACATACTCTCCATCATTTTAATGATTATACAATCATTACAATATTGTACCGTGTACACTATATAATATACAATGTATATTTTTTTTATAAATTATTATTATTATTATTAGTATTACCCATTTCGTGAAATATGTTACCTCTGTGATGCCTGTATACCATTGTAAGATTAGGTTTAGGCAAGTCCCTCTAGCTAAAGGTCAGGGGCGTATAAACGGTGCTTAACCCGATTGCCAGAGTGACGCATATACACGATCCACTGCGCCAGCCATATCTACTAGAAATCATTAGAACGCCACACCTGTTCTGATATTCATAAGATACCTGGGAGCATTCCAGCCCACAAAACACAGAGTCTACTAACAGCTTTTCAGTTTAGTTAGTTTACTATATGAACCCCATATATATATATACCCATCCTTTATATGAGTGGTAGTGGAAATGTTACGAAGGAACAATAATAATGGATTCCGGAACAAAATCCTAAAATTCGTTTAGCTAAGTACGTTACAGCATTTATGAGCGTTACATAATTTGTTAATAGGTAAATAAATCATATTTATTTATTTATTTATTTCAGGTCGGCGTTCAATCCCCGACCGTCCAAGTGGTTGGGCTCCATTCCTTACCCTCCATCCCATCCCAAATCCTGATCCCTTCCAAGTGCTGTATAGTCATAATGGTTGGCGCTTTCCCCTGATAGTTCAATTCAATTCACGATTTAATAAATTAACATCACTATGACCTCAAGCGACCCCCTAACACAGATCTATTTCTTGAGCATTATTTCTAAATTCGTTAATTATCACATTCCATCACATATTGAGAGATGTATGGTGTCCGAATAATTGTACACACTGTTTACATTTGATCAGATCTACTTCAAAAGGTAATGCAAACTCCCAGAGATATATTTATGGGTCTTGTTCTTGACTCACAATCGTGGATCCCGGGTTCGGGCTGGGGTGAGACGGAAATGATTGTGCACGTTGCCTTTCATATGATTCCCCCTGTTCGTATGGCAGTAAATAGGTACCAGAGAGTAAGGCAACTGTTGTAAGTTGCAGACTGTGGAAGTCAGTAGTTCGACTTGGGGGGGGGGAATTATCAGGGAAAGCGCCAAGCCATTACGACTATATAGAACTTGGAAGAGGGATCAGGATTTGGGATGGGACGGAGGGGAAGGAATGGCGCCCAACCACTTGGACGGTCGGGGATTGAACGCCGACCTGCATGAAGCGAGACCGTCGCTCTACCGTCCAGCCCAAGTAGTTGGGCCATCTGGGTGGGAGCTCCAGTTCATTGCTTTTCCCAGGGCCTATTACATTGCTACGGTGGCCACTGGGTGAGAGGGTACCGCCCTACAGGCCACATCGTCGGTTCCAATAAGCCTGGACCAGCTTAAACAACCCCCCAATCACAATAAGGTTGTGATTGGAGGGTTGTTCGGAGATCATACACGGAGATCCTCACAACCGAGCAGATATCACTCTGGGGTGATAGTCCTAAGGGTCCCAGTCGAGGCAAAAACAAATCGGCAGTTTCTTTCATCTGATGCGCCTTTTCAGCTAGCAGTAAATAGGTACCTTGGAGTTAGATGCTACAGACTGCATACTGGGGATGTATTAGAAATATACTTAGTAGATATAATAGACAAAAAAATAGGTCGGAAGTCAGTACATTAGACAACTGAGGGTTAGTAAAACAGGGTCCAAGAGCTAACAGCTTGATTCTGCGGGCACAAATAGTAAATTTATATACACACTCATGCTATGCTTTCGAACTTTAGAATCGCTTTTGAATACTGTATATTGATGGCAAAATATTAAATAAATTATTCACGACCTTTGTAATACCCAAGTTCAACTATGCAGTTGTATGGTGCCCATACCTCAATAAGAAGCACATTATTAAACTAGAAAAGGTGCAAAGACTCTCAACTAAATGTCGTGTCTAAGGTGTGTAATTACAAAAGTGTCCATCACTGCTCTCACTATTCTATATACTGTAGTAAACCTAAGTGGTTTCAGGATCATTCAAGTATCAGACTAGGATCCTTTTACCATTTATTCATGGCTTACACTTGTCCTGGAAGGATATTAACATCTACGGGTCCTCACGTCTCTTCCCGGTTCCCTGCCCAGTATTTCAATGTAATGGCAGGTTTATACAATATGGGTATTATTTACATGGACCATAGAAGCTTCGATCTCCTTTTCTCTCTTGATCTGTTTTCTTCCTCCAGTTGGCTACTCAGAGCTTAGACCATCTTGAGCAT